TTTTTCTTTCTTTCTTTCTTCTTTCTTTTTTCTTCTTTCTCGCTCTAGCAGTGAGAGAGAGAGAGCACTTTCTTCTGGCCTTTCTTGCATGTCCAATGAGAATTTTAGAGCCTGGGCATTGTCCTCCACGCTAATACCTCTGGCCTCCGTTCTAATTGGTGCCCTTGAAGTCCTCAAGTCCCTAGCACTCTAAAAGCACTGACCTCTGAAGGCATCCTGGAGTCCTGGCCATGCTTGGTTGTTACTATTTTCATCATTTGGAGCTGGCTCATGACAGAGCTGGAGCATAACTAAGGCCCTGGACTCCAAGACTCCACTCTAGTTCCAGCAACCCCACCTTTCCCCATTGTCTGATATCCCCCAATTCCCTTCCACAACCCCACATACTGGATATTGCCAGGAGCAGCAATCCTTTTAGCCAGCTAAGAGAACCTGCTTTCCCCACTCCCCTATTCTAACCCTTCTAGGTTCAGGTGTTGCCCCATTATCTGTTCAGGTTCCTGTCAATGTCATCATGGAGAGGAGCAGCAGCCCTGACTAGAGAGTGTGGGTGACAGTTGAGGAGAGGTATCTCAGTACCCTGTACCCTGCAAATGCTCCTGACTTTTTTTTTTCTTCTATAATCAAGAGTAACCTTATTTTTCTCTGATGGCAGGTAACTGAGGAAGTTCATCGACTGCTGAAAGGGTGCAACTACCAGTTTATATGCCGTGGAAAAGTCAGCGTCAAGGGCAAGGGGGAGATGCTGACCTACTTCCTAGAGGGAAGGACTGACGGAAGCAGCTCCCAAATCAGGTCTTTAAATATGAATCGGAAAATGTGCCCTTACAGGAGAGCTGGCCTTCAGACAAGACTGGCCCCCAGCTGCCCACTGGTGCCCAGTGTGGCTAGCTTCTCAGTCCAAGTTGGGCCAGGGGCTCTTCAGAACACAGGGCCCCCCTCACAGCCCACTCACCAGTACCCCCCCTTCGGAGTAGCTGTGAAGGAAGCTTAGCATGTCCATGCTACCGGGCCGCAAGTCTCTTGCAGAGCACACCCACGTGACTAGTAGACAGCTCTGCACAGCAGTTAGGCCAGGAAATGAGTGTTTATCATGTGTAGTCCAAGGACAATGATGCTTTCAGAAGTAGCATTTCCTTGACCACATGGATGCAAAGTGTTAGACCTGTCCAAGCACACACATACTCCACCACCTCTGTGCAGACAGGAGACTTTAGTAGGAGCTGCTTCTATTTAATCTTCTCCTCCAGCAGCAGAGGGGAGTGGGATCTCTCACTAGCAGGTTTGTCAAATTTGGTCAAGTTAGCAGTGGACACAGGTGCTCCAAGACAACTGCTAGAGCAATCCCAAAAGACAAGAAGGTTTGACAGGTCAGCTTTGAGAGGAGATGTGTGTGAGGCACCTACTGCAAATGTGTGCTGAGATGGAGCCCTGTTTACCAAGCCAAGGCCATACCCAAGGGATTGGGCCATCAGCTCAGCATCCCTGACATACACTGCACTGCATGACACGTCCAGCAGTTTAAGAGGTCCTGATTACTATCAGGGTAGTGGTGACCATGCATCTTTTTTTCTGAAACCAGCTCTGGAACTCCCAAGGACCTCCAGGCACAATTATGTAGGTTTAATCTGCCCAGGAGTTTGTTATGCCATGCATCCTAAACCACTTTCTCTGATAGCACTAATTTTCTGTAAATCTGTAAGTCTACTTCTACATGGCAGTCAGTGTAAGATCTGCACTGCTTTTTCTCTTCTTGAGGTGGTGGTGATGGGGAGAGTGTTGCTTTTTTGTACATTTGGCAGAACAAGGCTTTCTTTATCTTGAAAACAAATAGACCTTACTTCTTGGGAAAATTTATTTGGTAGAACATGTTTCTCAGGCAAAACCACCCTTTTGTAGTACGGTATTCCAGAGCTAGCTGGTTGTCTTAAGACTAGGTATGGCAGCTCCAATTTAAGGCTAGAATGTAGAAATTTTCCTTTTTCAGTAGGGCTTTGAACCAGTTCCAAAGAGTTCACAGTGATGGCCAGTGGAAACAAGGCACCATGCATGTTGCATAGCACCCAAATTTGTGCATCAGATTTTGATCTATGTAAAGTGTGGGCTAATAACCAAAAGATTGAGGCACTCTACAGTGGAAAGATGCTTAAGATGCATAAAGATTAACAGCCTCAGAAACCCAGTGGAGGATTGCTGTGAGTTGGGATTGACCCTATGGAAGTAAGATATGAAACAGGCAGTAGTGTTCTGCTTAAACACGGAAGCCAGTGGCACCACTTTTAATGTAATATGCTACCACCTTGGAGTGGGGTGCCACTGCCTGTTTCCTACTCTGGTCAAAATTTGATTAGCAAGAGATTTGATTGCTATGCAGTGTTTATGCTGTCCTTGTCTTCAAAGTCCACGACTGAACCACTTTCAAACTAGTTCATAGCATTGCTTTCCAGGAGTTATGAATGACTGAGTCTGCAAACCAGCCTTCCCAATGATGGCCCTGGGAGCTAACTCTGAAGATATATTGAGTGTGATGTGGAAGGAAAGTGGGCTTGAGGGGAAAGCAGTATTAAGAGATTGGAGACCTAGCCAAGCCAAGGGGTCCAATTAATCAGGCAGGTCAGACATACCCAAATTACAGGAAAGAAATGCTCCAGGTCAAAAACTGAACACACCAAGGCCCATAGCTCTCAAGCTAAGACAGGAAAGAACTGCTGAGAGGAATGAGCCCACCTAGAGTCAGCCAGGAGGAGGTTTGAGTTATCCTGGAGTCCCTCCCTTTACTATTCTCAAGGACTCCTTACTAGAGTCTCTAGCTTGCAGAATAGGGCAGGGGGAAGTAGACAATTAGCCTGTGGAGAACTGGGCTGTGGGTTGGATCCATCTCAGACTTGTCTTGTGGTTAACAAAATCCATGGTGGCCTCTTAGGATGCTCATTGACACAGGTCTGTTAGACATGGCATTTCCATGCAGGGAGTTCAAACCCACACCTCCACCATGGTGTTTGGGAAAGAGCAGGATTGGAAAGGATGGAAGGGGACTCAGAGGCCAAGCATGTAGCAGCAAATATAAAGGTGGTAGAGGACTTAAAAGAGGAAATGGGATGCAGAAGAGTCAAGAAACATTGAAAGGGGAACTTGAGCCCTCACTGCTGGCTGTGAAGATGGAGGGAACAATGAGCCAGGGAATATGAATGACCTCCAGAAACTGAGGGCAGCCTCCGATGGCAGTGGTGAGGAAATGGAATCTCACTCATGCAACTATAACAAATTGAATTTGACCAACAGTCTAAGTGAACTCATAAGCAAATTCTACTCAAGAGACTCAGATGAGAGCCCAACCCAGCCGACACCTTGATTTAGCCTCTTAAGCCCCAAAGAGGGCCTGCTACACCACACTGTATCTAGGTCTCTTGCCTGCAGAACATTGTGATACTAGCTTTTCAAAGTCACAAGTTCATAATTAATTATTGTGGTTGCAATAGGAAACTCCTGCAGATGACCATTGTGCCTTCTCTGGGCACTTAACTGTTTTGAAATGACCAACACAGAGCAACCTGATGCAGGGCTTCTATTGAAATTCCAAACAATATGGAAACCAATCAATTCCAAACCCATCTATTTCCTGTTAGAGCAGGAACCATACTTAGCCATAATATTCTTAGGGTTCGGTGGAAAATACCTTTCTTTTGATTTGTGATAAAACTGTATAATATGGCCTTATTTGTTTTTAATCTTGTATAATATCCATGTACACATCTTAGAGGCTTTATTTTAAGATGTTTTGTACATAGTGGATTGATTACTTATATGAAAACAAACACACCTGTGGAAGGTATGCTTTAAACAGATACAGTGATGTTTATACATGTGTCACATCTGTTCGTTTTGGTCCTTTGGAAATGATCCCTTATGTGTTGTTCCCTTAGCATCCTTGCATGCCTCTTATGCTTGACATCATAGAATAGAATAGAACAAAGCCCAGGAATGCTTCCACATGCTTCCACAGATCATGCTGACTACAGGCTGACCCACTCCTGCCAGGGTCTTTGTGTCATGCAGAGCAAATGCCACTACAAATCCTATGTAACTCATGTTGCCTGTCTATGATAATCAGACTCTAACACTAACCAGTACTCTCAGCCTCCTTCACTAGAAGCAATAAGTCCAACTCTATGCTGAAGAGACAACTCTGTGTCAAAGTACTTATGTATTTCAAAGACAAGCCATGCTCACTCATTTGCCCAAAATAAAGTGCGTTGCAGTGGCCTAATGGTCTTAGAGCCACACTCGTCTCATGAAAACTCTGCTTAGGGCATAACAGATTCATGTGGCTGGGCATCAAGTTGTTGAATTTAGGTTGATTCAGCACCCAGGGATGCAGACTAGAAAAGCCTCTATCAAAGACCATGCCAGGTCACTTTGTCATTATGCTTGTGCTTGAGGTTGTGGAAGGAGAGGCAAACAGAAAGATTCCACCTCCAATCCTAAGATATGGTCTGATCTGTGAATCCTAGTGTCTGGTACACTGATAGAGGTTGTAAGGTAGAAAGGATATCAGTCAAGGATAATTTCTCAAGGCTTACCAACATGTTTTTTAAAAATTACAGCACACTAGAGGCTATTCCTATGAGACATACTTGTCCTCACTTACCTTGCAGGATGCTTCCTGGTGAGAGAAAGCCCTCTGGACAGGGGGACTGATGTAGGGGCAGGAAGACATTGAAAACTGATCTGAAGGACTCTGGGTCTGGGCATTGGAGAAAACTTAGCCATCCTGCAGAGCTGCTGTGTTTGTTTGTTTGTTTTTCAATTTAGTATAAATACTGTGCTTTACTGCCCTAATAGAGGGAACTCTGGTGATATAGTCCTTGAGGATTTGTGCTAATTACCTCTCCATTTAAATCTACCAGCAGTTTACGGGGATAAAGATGGGCATTTTCCTCCCATGCCAATTACAGCTTCAAAAACCTGGCATCTTTGAGTCTGTTCTGATGCAATGGCAATGAGCTTTACAGTCCTAATAGCAACCTAGAATAGCATTTAAATGACTTCTGACTTGGAACTTCCAAAGGAGGAAACAAGCAATTTGCATGTGAAGCCATTTTCAAATATTCATCAGGGAACCATGTACCATCAGTGTTAACAGTGAGGCGGGACCTGCATCCCATAATTCATCCAGCCCAATAGATGGATGTTCTTGAGAGCCTGCATACACTGTGCACTCAGGTTATAAAGTAACTGCTGTGTAGTTGTATGCACTTTACTATCTATATAGTCATCTATATAGTCTAGATACAAGAAATGAAATGGTACACTTAAGTGAATTGTAACCTAACAACACTCTTATGTTAATTGGGTAATAGAACTTCTGTTAATACTGTACAAGTCTAGAGATTTGCAGCTCTGTTGGCAGTGTATAAAGTAGTTTATCAAAGCTGATTTGTGTACTAAATTGACTTTCTCATGGTCAGGTTTTATTAAAATATTTTTAATGGCTTCAGCTAAAATACACATGCATAAGCAAGTGCACACACACACATTTTACAGGCAATCTGACTTCAAATTCTTGGTAAAATCAAAGAAGAACTTCTGTGGTCAGATCAGAGCCTCAGGCAGTTAGAGTTCAGGTTGAAGCTCACCAACTCCTTCTTTGGGTTTTGGAGCATCTGGCCTCCCTAATAACAGTGGTTTTTGGAAATTCTTGTTTCCGTTTTGAGCTTATAATCCATTATTTTTACTTAAAGCTCTAGGTTAGGTAGAGTTCACAAGTGATGAAGAATGTGACCACTTCTTCATAAAGGAACTAGGGTTCTGACCTTGTATTCATGACTCCCTAGAGCTTAAGGGGAACTGTTAGGAGTGAATTTAAATGAGAATCAGAGAGTGTGATAATGAAGTCCAGAAGGATTGGAGAGTCCAGGCCAGAGCCCAGCTTAGTCCCACTGGGAAAAACCTTCAAACTGTACTTAAGAGGACAGCAAAGATCTAGGTATTTGA